CAAGATTTGGTGGTGTTGGTGGCTATTGTCTGTTTGTCTTTCTCTTCTGGAGGCTGGAGTAGCTGATGAAGTTAGCAATGTCAGCGGCATCGCTTGACAGTGGAAAAGCAGGTGTGCGTGGGGCGAGCGGAGGGCCCGAACCCGCTGTCTTCACGCTGGAGTCTCCAGCGCCCGACTCCGGGCTGGGCAGCTTGCCAGCGACTTCCCGGGGACAGGGGGAGGTTGTCGGGGATACTTGGAAGCGTAGACCTTCGGGTTCTCAGAGGTCCCAGGGCTTCCCTGTGGGTAAGCGGAGGGAGTGGAGGAAGCATCCTTCTGGCACCCTTCCTTACTAGAGTTATAAGTTCGCTTCTGGGAAGGAAAGCTCAAAATTGATTAGGCCGGGGGCGGGAGGGGGGTTGTGCTCGCAGTGAGCACAGCCTGCCCCCATGCTACTCAAGGAGCCAAGTGGATGGGCATGCTCCAGAGCTCCGCTACAAAGTTGAAGACTTTCTTGGCAAGCTGTAAATTCTGGAACAGGGAGTGGCTGGAAACTCCTTTCTGCTCACCGTCGCTGGTCAGGAGCTTGTGTTCCAGGCGTGATCACTAGCCCTCTACTTCAGTAGGTCTCCCTGGAGCAAAGACTGCTCCTTCTTCGGGGGTGGGAGGTTGTCATCGGTGTCAACAAATCTCACCTGACCAGCAGGAAAATAGAAGCCAAGAGCAATTTCCCGTGAACGCCCTGCAAGAGACTCACTGAGCTATGGGGCTGGACAAAGCCACCCGAGGTCATTAGCTCACCCTCCCACTGATACCTCACTTAGGAGATCAGACAATGAGACCAATCAATTCAAATCACCTTTATGAAAATGCCTTACTGTAGAGAAATTCTAATGTCCAGATGCACAGGGTATCGGAGTGAACGTCTGACCAGCCAGATTCAGCGCCCCCAGCACTCTGATGTCTTTGTTTAAATACCTTCGATTTAAATTCTTAGACTCTCTCCGTTCCTCCCTCCCCACACCCTCTGTAGCCCAGGCTGGCCTCTAGTTTACAGATAGAGATCCTCCGGCCTCTGTCTCCTCAGTGCTGTGCTTAAAGGTTTATGTCACTACTCCCAGCAAACTTACATTTCTTTTACTTTTTGAAATTTAGTTTTATTGAGCTATAAATTTTTCCCACTCCCCTTCCACCCTCCCTCCTGCCTCCCCCATGCTCCCAATTTACTCAGGAGATCTTGTCTTTTTCCTTTTCCTAGGTGGATTCATGTATGTCTTTCTTACAGTCCTCTTTGTTACCTAGGTTCTCTGGGATTGTGGCCTGTAGGCTGGTTATCCTTTGCTTTATGTCTAATATCCACTTATGAGTGAGTATATTATATTTGTCTTTCTGGATCTGGGTTACCTCCCTCAGGATGGTTTTTTCTAGTTCCTATCCATTTGCCTGCAATTTTCAAGATGCCGTTGTTTGTTACCACTGTGTAATACTCCTTTGTGTAAATGTACCACTTTTTCCTTATCCATTCTTTGAAAATTGCATTTCTTTGAAAAAAAAAAAAGGTTCTCTCAGGGCTAGAGAGACGTAAGTGTGGATCCCAGCACTCACATAAAAACCTAGGGGAAGAGCTAGGCATAGTGGTGCTTGCCTTTAATTCCAGCACTTGGAAGACAGAGGCAGGAGAATTTTTGTGAGTTCAAGGCCAGCCTGGTCTACATATTGAGTTCCAGGACAGCCAGGGCTATGTAGAGACCCTGTCTGAAAAAAACAAAAACAAAAACAAAAACACAAACAAAACAAAGCAAAAGCT